TATGCTGCACGGTACTGGAAAAAATCTGTTATTGCGATATTTTATTTTTCTGCGATAAATACTGCAATATGAATATGGTTTCACAAAATAGTTTGAAAAGCCTGTTGAACAGTATTCAGGTACAGAAATTGAATTATCACAATGCAAACATTTTTTTTTTTACTTTGTCTTGTTTCCAGTCCAAATGTCTAAAAATTCTTAGTTTAAGTAAAAAAAAAAAAGAAAGTGTCTTCATAAGAAAGAAGACAAAATTAAAATAAGTAAAATTATCTGTCAGTAGGGTAAGTAATCTCATTTTTGCTTTGAAATGTAGATATTCGGACTAGAAACGAGCAAAAATGAAGTAACTTTTGTTTGCATAGATCATATAAATTCCATATAAACAGTAATTAATTCTGTAGCTCCTGACCAACTATAATCTAGGCTCAACATTGCAGATCTTGCGATGTGATTATTACTTTTGCACACAGCAAAAGCAATACTAATACAATATATTATGTAACCCTAAAAAAAAAAAAAAATATATATATATATATATATATATATATATATATACATATATATATATATATATATACATACATACATACATACATACATACATACATACATGTATATGTGTGTGTGTGTGTGTGTGTGTGTTTGTGTCTGTGTGTGTGTGTGTGTGTGTGTGTAGCCCAGCCAACACCAGCTATGTCCAGCTCAAACTAGACTGGTCAAGCTGGTTTTAGCTAGTCATTTCCAGCCTGACCAGCTAAGATCATTCTGGAAATGGCTGAAAGACCTCAAAAACCAGCCTGCTCATTCAGCTAAAACCAACCAACCAGCTTTAAACTGTTTTCAGCGGGGAAATTTTCTTCTAAAATGAGATTTTTGATGATCACTTTATTTTTACGATCCCTTTAATGCATTTTGTTGAATTTAAGTTACATCTACAAGCCTACTAATTCTCATTAGATTATAAGTAGACTGTTAGGTTAGGGTTAGCGTAAGTAAATATGTACTTGCAAAGTTTCATATAGTCGGTTAAATGTCTGTTGAAGGAGCAGTATCAACAGCTATTAAGCACACAGAATGCTAATACTCAAATGAGAAGTAATTGGAATGTAGTTGCAGTGCAACAAAATGTGCAATAAGGACAATCAAAAGTATAGAGTTTATGCACAAAAAGTGTAAAGTGTTACCGATTTTTATCAGTCTCAGTATCAGTTTTTATGTCGAGTTATTTTACTTTAAAGAGGATGAAAATAACCTATTCATCACAATAAAATTGAAATGACTGCAACCTGAGAAAATTGCTTATTGTAGAAGAATATTTCAGACGGCACTTTTGCAGCTGAACTCTTCAATCACGAAAAATGAATATGAATGTCTTTCTTAGCAATTATTAGCATTATCACGAGTTAAGTCCTCATTATCTATTCAATTCAATTCAGCTTTATTTGTACAGCGCTTTTACAATGTAGATTGTGTCAAAGCAGCTTCACATAAATGGTCGTAGTAAATTGGAACAGGGTAGTTCAGTTTTTAGTGTTTAAGTTCAGTTCTGTTTAGCTCAGTTCAGTGTGGTTTAAAATCATTACTGAGAGTCCAAACCCTGAAGAGCAAATTCATCGATGGGTAGCTCTACCGATCCAAAAACATGCAAGCCAGAGGCGACAGCAGAGAGGGAAAAAAAACTTCACCGATAAGCGAGTGAAGAAAAAAAACCTTCCTATTCAAGTAACAATCCTAACATTAATAAAGTATACAACTGTAAACATCTGTTTATGTATCAGTTCCATCTGTCTCCTCCCATTTTTGATGAGTGTTTCTTTTTCATTTGAAGACTTTCTGACCATGCATTTGTTTGAAGTCTTTGGAAGTTAGCTTCTCAGACTTTGATCAGCCTGTCACGATGCTTTCTAGAAATCAGCACTTTATATTTCTTCTTCCCAGTGTTATGAATTCCAAAGCAATATGCAGAGCAGCTGCGTATAGTATAGCTTCAGGCACCCATATGGTTTCTAGATTGATGCGAGGGCTTTCATTGCGGTTTCATGAGGGTTTTCTTTCTTTCCTCCAAGTCTTTATCTGGGAAGTGCTGTTCTCTGTTTAAGCTGTGTTTTTTTGCCTATAGCTGCACCAGCATCACAGGCCAGACAGATAGTATATAAATTATCACTGTGTTTCTACCTGTGGCCTTTGCACTGTATTTAATGTAGGCCTAGAGAAGCTTAGTTAGGTTGCTAGTCCATAGTTGAGTAATCCGAATATCTATCTGGGCTATACACTATATATGCTTTCATATCCCATGAAGGTGCAATAAATTACATTCTATGATATCTGCCCTGGCTTTCATTGATTCTTAATGTCTACATTTTTAAATGACAGTTTGTGTTGGTGTTGTAGGACTGGGTGATTTTGGCCTGAAATCAAAATCTCGATTAATTGAACATTTTACCTCAGTTACTATTAATGAACAGTTATTTTATTTATTTATTAAATTTATTCGGCCGCATAGTTCACTGATGAGTTTTGTACAGTAAATATGCTCGAATATTACAAGTGAGAGATTTTTGAATGAAGGGTGCATTTACTTGATATTAAAATAATTGGAAGCACACACTGAGTATTTATTAAACATCATAATAGAAAATATGCCGTCTCTAGGCATCTCTGGCGCAGCTTCCAATCATCATCAATGTAGTGCAAATGTGTGATGTGTAGTTACTTTTTTTTTTTTTTAAGAAGTGCGCTGGTATAAGAGCTTGCGAATATTGCACCCGACCATACCCATGCGTTCGATGCAGAAGTGAGAATCAGCTTTAACAGAGCGGGGTTACGTGACTCTACACGCTGTAGGGCAGTGGTAGGGAACCTATGGCTCTCGAGCCTCTTTGAACAAAAAGACATGGCTCTCCAGTTGTCTTCCTTCAATAATATTACATATTTAAAAAATCTAATTGTCACTAGAAATCAGTTTCTTTTTGAAAATACAATTACAATTCCCTCTTTATTGTAATTTTTACAGCAAACATGTGCAACAGACTTGCTCAACATGTGATGCTTCATATATATATATATATCCCCAAATGACTCTTTAAAAAAAAATGCATTTGCTAAAAAAATCAGAAATGGCTCTTTGCTGAAAAAAGGTTCCCGACCCTTGCTGTAGGGAGAGTAATTGAAAAAAGCTGACCCGGAAAAATTTGATCGATTATAGGTTTATTTATTTATAGGTCGATTTCTATTGCTGTTGGATTAATCGCCCAGCCCTAGTCAAAACTTTCGAGTTCGGTACCAATTGGTACTGAAAAAAAACAAAAAACATCCGTTTTACGCTAACATTCTTAAACGGCTGATTAGCCATTGTGTTCATCACTTTTCACTGATGTTATTTGTGTTCACTGAGCATGGTGCACTGAAGCAATTCAAAGTCGCGTCTTAAGAACCCGCTCTATTGTTAACAAGAACAAGACGTTTTTAAAATTTCAGTACCGATTGGTACCAAAGTCGATATTTTGGCAACACCACTTTATTTGACTGTCTAAATGTTTTTTTTTTTTTTTTTGGATCAGAAAAGTGTATTTAATCAGTCAATTTTATTATTACCTGTTCATTTTAATATGGTCATTACGTAAATAATCTGTTTAAAATAAATTAATAAGCAGTAACTATTATTACTAGTAATAACCTAGTAATAAACTAGTTACTATTATTTAGTAATTAATAATAGTTAATAAAATAGCTTTTCTGTTATTTCGCAAGAAATCGAAGACTATATCGCAATACTCAACAATAATATTGCGTGTCTATTCATCTATCCATCCATCCATTTGTTTTTCCATTCACCCATGCTACATTTCAGACACCTTTTTCTTTAATTCATTAGATTGTTACACATTAATGGTTTTTAATGAGTCTACATTTAATGAGTCTACATTCAGAAGACAGTCATTGAATTTAGTGGTAGTTTGTATACCAATACATTTTTGTCAGCCATATTTAGTAAGTTAATCATTGGAATACAATTAAACACTATTTATTGAACTAAAATTAAAATGATTTTGAAACAAAATACTAATTAGGTGTCATTTAAATGTTAACTTTGCCACAAAAAGGTAGGTTTAACAAATTTAAATACAAAAAAGTGCGCTATGATCAATTGTATATTTATTTTATATACAGTATTTTAAATCGAAATATTTTTATATAAATATTTGGTGTTATGAATTAATGCTATTTTACTTGCTTTTTTGCAGTTAATTTATGCAAACATTTTTATTTTATTATAAAAGAAACTAAACTGCTGTGTAGGGATGCAACGATTATAGATTTTGTTTGTACGATTATAGTCTGAGGAATAATCACGGTTTTACGGTGATCACTTATTATGCATTTATTAATTTTTAAACACTACTAGCTTAGGAAAATCACATTTGTGATTTGTGGAAAGTGTTATTTATTGCTG